AGCAATGATGAATGCAGAAGCACTCTCAAAACTGTGGTGTGATATTCAAATATGGAGTTTTATGACAGTGTTGTTGTACATATAGTAATGTTTAGAGTCCTTATTCCTCCATGGCCAGAGGTATATTTGGGTCAATTTATCATCTAAGAGATAAAAGACAAATGCTGAGTACATTTCTAGAATTTTTCGTTTTGCAGCTATGTAGTAATAGTAGCTTTATGTTTGGGTTCACCTTCTGAAACTTCTTTTGAGGAACATGATTAAATCAAACTGTAAAATGGGTGGTCTTGTGATATAGATACAAGGTCTCGTTAAGAAACAACTACTTTTGCCATGACTGGTGTGGCTTAATTGGTTGAACATTGTCCCCCTGAGCAGCAGGTCGCTGGACCAATTTCCGGGCTTGAGTTGCGGTCATGGTCCCCACTAGGGGTGCATGAAAGAAGCAACTGATTGATGTTTCTCTCCCTCTCTTTCTACCTCCCTTTCCCTCTCTCTAAAAATAAATAAATAAAATCTTTTTTTTAATTGCGTCTTTTGAGGTCATTGACTACTCTAAACAATACATGACTTACATCTCTAGAGATAGAAAATAAATGTATTATTAGCGATATGATTTATGGACAAAGATTTCCAACAAAAATACAAAAAAAATGCAGTTTTAAAAGCCAAATTCATTTTGTATACTAATGTTCCTAAAATATTCCAGCTTTATGTAGGAATAATAGGACGTCTTATTATCCATTCAACACATTTTAACATAAAAACTCTACATTATTGTCTTTATTATTTATACAGTGCAAATAAAAACATGGCAGCATTCAATGCAAATACGACAGGTACGGCCTCTGCCTCTGAAGATGTAGAATCAAAGACAAATGTAAAGAGGATCAGTCCTCAAACCCAACCAGGTGGCCTGGTCGCTCTTTCCATGCTAACACGGAATAGGGCTGGGTCAAGGCAGACTCTCCCTGCCAAGGTCTGATCTTGTGTCATGTCCGTGACGTGATCACTGAAATGCTTGGTCCTATTATCCATTAAATCCAGGCCAAGTTAGGCTTGAAACACAAGAAGGAAGGGCCCATAATCCAAGATAAAAAGAAAGAAAAACATTGATCTGTGGATTGTCCTGATAAGTAATAAGTCCTTTTCACTGAAAGTAGAAAACAGTTAATAAATTAATAATTAAAGGAAAATACGACCTCTTCACATTCAGAGATAGAACTAAACTAAATCTCTCCAACCCGATGATTACACAGTCTTATAATCCAGGATCTGGTTTCTCCCACTGTACATAGCACATATGGGTACTCAAGAAATACTCATTTTTATTTCCACAAACTATCTTTATCCATTTAAAAATACGATTTTTTTGTTTCTGCTCTTTAAGAAAAGAAATAATCATCCAGGGAGCTGATTAATGATTTAAAATCATAAGGCTCCTCCAGTTGAGGTGAGGCAGGAGAGAGGGAAAGGGCGTTGGCAAACCGGTGCTATGTTACACTCTGGCATGGTGCTGGGCATTGAGAAGGTGCTCAGAAACTACTGATGAATGGAGAGCCACAGCTTTTCCTAGGCTAGCAAATATAAGAATTTATAGTATATTCAGGCTTTCTCTATAAACTATATTCCCATGTAAAATAATCTCCTCCTCATATTGGTGAAAGAGGATCTGAGGTAGAAAAGGCAGAGATCACACTTTCGTCAGAACAAAACCAATTAGCCAGCGCTTCCTGTGAAAATAGAAACAGATCCAATTCGTGGGAGTGGTATGGAATTGCTTCACTATTCCACCCTAAGTTTTATAGCAGGGCCCCCAGTTCAGTAGTCTGAAACTCTATGTTGAAGCTAACAGGAGAAATTTAACAGGGTCCTACTGAAGTGAAGTCCTAAATTAGGTCTAAAGCCCAAAAGCAAAACAAAACTGGTGGAGATTGGCCAGGTCATGGATGCCCCATGCTGCTTCTTCAGCTGATGTGCTCACTTTTAGCCTCCTCCTTCTTAAGCCCCATAATCAATTGTGTCTTCCATCTGGAACCTGAGAAACTGCAGGCCTTGAAGCAGTAACAACAAATTGGTGAGCTGAATGGTACTAAATTTTCACAGAGAACTTTTTTGAGCCGACTGCTATGTCCTTATATACTAAAGTGTGTATATGATGCAGTCTCTATGTTGCCTGTAAATATAAAATGAACCTAAATAACAGGCCAAGTCTGAAAGGGTCAGAGGGGGGAAAAAAATAGAGCAGATATAAGGCATTTCACAGATTTGGGGCATTTCACAGGTTTCCAGATCCACAGAATTGTTATTACAGCCTGTAGCATATTGTATCAGGAAAGGGAATGAATAAGGGACAGCAGGAAAGAATAAAAAAGAGTTTGGTCGGTGAGGATAATTTGAAGTTCTTGTGACACATCTTCAGAGATAGACTCTATGTAGTCTAATGAATGAAATTTAGACCTTTCACCAAAATAAAGGGAATGTCCCAGGTTGTACTATCAGTATACTGTGGAAGAGCCACATGTATAAACATGTATGTGCATGTGTTTACTGGGCTCTCCCATAAGTTACCAGTTGCACATATTAATCAAAAAGCACTGCCCTCCACCCACTTTTCTATTACCTGTCCGACTTGTTCCAATTTCCCTTCTCCTCCCACCACCCTTTGCCTAACTGTTCTTCTTGAAGACCTGGGATGGGGATTTGTCAAAGTCAATGAGCACTTTATTACAGTGAGAACGCTCTGTAATGAACAATTCAGCAATTTAATGAGATTCTGTAGATCTGTCTCCAGCCTGTCCATCAAGTTTCACTTCTATAAAGCACCCTGACACTAATCCTCTGGCATACCCAATCTTCACCCTGGGCTGAATATTAGATTCTTCCATGGTATATTGCATTACTAGTATAACCTCGGCAAAAATGATGAACTTAACTATACTTGAGGCAATATAGCTGGTCTGATTTGATTTTTCTCTATTGGGTCGAGTATGAGGGAATTACTTATTTACTAAGATAAAGCAAAAACAGTTTTTTATTGCCTGCTGAAAGCCTAAATTGATCATTATTTAAGTGAGCCTTTTAATTCTTTCTTGAGGACCAGGTGCAAAAAATGTTACCTGCAGCAGAAAGCAGTTTTGAAAATTCTACATTATAATATTAGTAACCTTTAGAGAGGCAATTATGATAAGTATTAAGTGAACAGCATGGCATTTTTTGGGCACTCAGACTTGTGCACATTACCATGTCCATCTCTGGCAGCACCTTCAGCCAGGCCACAAAAACAATGAGAAACCACAGGATGGTCGGCTCAGATCTCAATTCAGTTAGAAATAATTCAATGCAGAATTCATTCCAAGTCTTTCTTTTTCCCTTTGGGAAATGAAAAAAAATTTGGCAATTTCTCATTTTCAGTTGATAGGAAATTTCTGATGATTTGTGTTTACAGGGAGAACAACAGATAATTAAAATTCATACCAAAAACTCATCCTCGCCAACACTTTTGACCTCTGCCTGATTAACATTATGAGAAATACCTAAGAAGCAGAGAAAAATACCTACCGCTTGTTTCTGTTTCCTGCTATTTTTCCTGGTCAAGGCAGTGTGGAATAGTAGGGAAGTCAGGGAAGGTGTCCACAGGCCTGGATTTGCAGGTTGGCTCTGCTCTGTAACCCTGAACAAGGCACTGAAGCCTCATTTCACTTGTCTGGTAGGAGCGGTGCTAACAGCCTGCTTTCAGGCCTGTTGTGGTGGCAAGTCAGTAAGTTTACAAAGAGCCCGAGCCCAGAAGGCCCTCAGTACACCTCAGCTCTCATTACCCTCTCTGGTAGGAGCAACAATGAAGAAAGAAGTTGCTGATTAAAGTAATACAAAGAAAGAAATAAGAGACATCCCAAAAAGTATTAATCCAGAGAGTCAGATAATAAACAGCTACCTCTGACTCTGTTTTGGCCAAAATTAGAGTACTCTCTGAATGTTATTTGAAGAGAGAACAGGAATTCACTGCCGTGTCAGCTAATAGAAGACTTCTTATTTTCCCTTATATTCTGTATATAAATATCTTTCAAATGATCATAACATTTTGAAGGTATGCTGCCTGAGAAGTAACAAGGCAGCTAGCCAGGGTTCCAGAGAGTGAGACAGACAGTGTAAGACACCATGTGGATTGTTCAAGGATAGTCACTGGGGATGAGCGGAGAAGGATTTAAATTGAATAATCAACTTGAAAACACAAAACGTCCTCCTGTCCCCTAGACAAAGGATATTCAAAAAGAACGCTATGTCAGGCAAAGAGGCAGAGCTTCGGAAAATAACAATGAATGCAGAATGAGCTAAGAAGGGAGTTTTCCACTGCAGTGCAAGAAAAGCTTAGTTTCATTTAAGGTCTCAGTTGCTTTCAGCTGAGACAAAGACATGTTTTTGAATTGTTCCATCAGGGGTGTCCAACCCATGGCCCTGGATGTCTATGAATGTGGCCCAACACAAAATTGTAAATTTACTTAAAATCTTTTCTGTGCTCATCAGTTTTCATTAGTGTTAGTGTATTTAATGTGTGGCCCAAGACAACTCCTTCCAGTGCGGCCCAGAGATGCCAAAAGGTTGGACTCTCCTGGTTCAGGAAAGCCCAGAACTCATTCTGATTCCATTGGTCTTAAATCTGCATAAGTAGCACTTGACAATCCATTCTTCTCCTATTCAATTTAAAAAATTTATGTTCTTCTCAGGAGAATAAAAACCTTGGACTAAGGGTTTGGAGAAATCACGGGGAGGGCGTGAGGATCTCACCTGCGATTCGCTGAGTTAAGCTGAGCTGGCAAGGCCTCCAGGCTTCAGGGCTGGTGCTCTCCAGCTGCCTGCCCCTCCGGGCAGCTTGACTTCAAAGGCTTTGGGTCCATTGAGGACCAAACCAAACAAATAGTTCTCATTTTCCTCAATCCTTCAACTTTTAATCATTTCATGCCCTCTCCATGCCCAAAGACACCCACGCAGAGCGCCCTTACCTGCCAGATCTGCTCTTCACTCAGGGAGGTCAGGCGGTCACTCTTCAGGACCTCCTGAAGCAGACAATAGGGAAGCGTTAGAACGTCCTCCGGCCGACTCTTCAGGAGTTCAGAGAGATGTTTCACTAAGAAATCGATCACCGCCTTCTCCAACAAAGTGAGGTTAAAGAGGTCAGCAAGTCTGTACAGATCCAAGTAATTAAAGCTATTTAATTCCTGGGTGCCAAAAAAATAAAAATGGGTGGGGGGGGAGAAGATCTCTTAGAAATCCATCCAAGAAAGAGCAGGCAAGAAATTCAGATTGACTCACTAAGGTTTGAATAGCAGGAGTGATACAGCATTCCATTGAGAATATAAAAAATAATAACACCACCACCAACAAAAAAACACAAACAGAAATACCCCTCAATTATAAGGCTCTGGGCAAACAACTGCCCAGAGTGAAGAATTCATCATTTCTTCTCATTTTGCCCCTCTAGAAATCTATATATTTAAAGACATTTTAGCAAAAGGATTGAAAGGGGTTTCTGGCTTCATGGACTTACATGATGCTTTGCAACTTTTAAGAAACATTTACCAATGAAAACAATTTTTCTACCCTTACCATATTTTACAGTTCTTAGGTGATCAATTTTTCCACCAAAGATAATGTGACGGAAGGAAAATGGGAATCATGCATAGATGACACAAACTATATGAAGATAGACTAATGCTACTCTTATTCCAAAACTTCAAATTAAGTACATCTTTGAGTAAAAATAATCCATGCTCACTTAACGAAATTAAAACACAGATTCTTACATGAGGTCGCCAGAACTCTCACAAAAGATTCCCATCCTAAATAATTATAGATTGAATTCACCTAAGATGGACAATTTATAATTGTTCTTTTTTTAGCTTCAGACAACCAGTGGTAATCTTCCCCTCCTTTCTGAAGTTTCTGTAGCAATGCTTCATTCGGTGGGGGGCGGGGGGGGGCGGGATTTTACTTTTCCCTACAAGTTCTCAAACCAGGGCTCTACAATCATGCCCCAGAGCCATGACTTCTTTGGAAGCTTTGTCTTGTAACTGCAGAGTGGGCACACAGGCGTACTGATAGAAAACTTACCCATTACAAGTAAAATGAGAGAGGGCTATGTCCTAGTTTGCCCTAATTTTTAACATGTAATTATTAATATGTGAGTAATATTTTCCAGTAACTTAAGAAATTCAGAATGCAATACAAAGATCAGGTAGCTATTTTACTCTGCTGACCTATGTAGTTTTCAACATGCTTTTCCCCTTTTCTAGTTATCTAAAAGTATTAAGAACTCTTTTTAAAATATTTATATTCTATTTTAATATATTTGTTCCTATTTTTGTTTTGCTCTTTTGTGAAAATTATGTTTTATTGATTATGCTATTACAGCTGTCCCAATTTTCCCTCCTTTTCCCCCCTCCACCCAGCACCCCCATCTCCCTCAGGCAGTCCCCACACCATTGTTCATGTCCATGGGTCATGAGTAGGTTCTTTGTCTACTGCAGTTCCTATACTGTGCTTTACATCCTTATGGTTATTCTGTAACTACCTTCTTGTACTTCTTAATCCTCTCACCTCTTCACCATTCCCCCACACACCCCTCCCATCTGGCAACCATCAGAAGGCTCTCCATATCCATGGTTCTGTCTCTGTTATTCTTGTTTGCTTAGTTTGTTTTTTAGATTCAATTGTTGATAGGTATGTCTTTATTGCCATTTTATTGTTCATAGTTTTGATCTTTTTCCTAATAAGTCCCTTTAACATTTTACATAATAATGGTTTGGTAATGATGAACTCCTTTAGTTTTTTTTCTTATCTGGGAAGCTCTTTATCTGCCCTTCGATTCTAAATGATAGCTTTGCTGGGTAGAGCAATCTTGGCTGTAGGTCCCTGCTCTTCATGACTTTGAATATTTCTTGCCAGTCCCTTCTAGCCTGCAAGGTTTCTTTTGAGAAATCATCTGACAGTCTTCTGGGAACTCCCCTGTAGGTAACTAACTTCTTTTCCCTTGCTGCTTTTAAAATTCTCTCTTTATCTTTAACCTTTGGCATTTTAATTATGATGTGTCTTGAAGTGGGCCTCTTTGCACCCACCTTGTTTGGGAGTCTCTGCTTCCTGGACTTGTATGTCTACTTCCTTCACCAAATTAGGAAAGTTTTCTTTCATTTTTTTTTCAAATAGATTTCCAGTTTCTTGCTCTTCTATTTCTGGCGCCCCTATGATGTGAATATTGGAACACTTGAAGTTGTCTCAGAGGCTTCTTACCCTATACTCATTTTTTTTTTGAATTCTTTTTTCTTCTAGTTCTGATTGGTTGTTTTTGCTCCTTATACTCCAAATCATTGATCTGATTCTTGGCTTCATCCAATCTACTGTTGTTTCCCTGTATATTGTTCTTTATTTCAGTTAGTGTATACTTTGTTTTTGACTGGATCTTTTTTATGCTTCTGAGGTCCTCACTAAGTTCCTTGAGCATCCTTATAACCAATGTTTTGAACTCTGCATTTAGTAAGTTCTTGTCTCCATTTTGTTTAGTTCTTTTTCTGGAGTTTTATTCTGTTCTTTCATTTGGGCCATATTTCTTTCTACAACAAGGATTCGCTTGGCACCACGCCCTAATGTGTCATCTATGCATGATTCCCATTTTACCTGCCCTCACATTATCTTTGGTGGAAAAATTTATCACCTAAGAGCTGTAAAATATAGTAAGGGTAGAAAAATTGTCTTCATTGGTAAAGGGCCTACAATAGTTTTATTATACATTTATTAGACATTCTTTGTCTCCTCATTTTGGCAGCCTCCCTATTTATTAGGTAGAGCTGCTATGACTCCCTGTCTTGGTACTATGCCCTAATGTAGTAGGTGTTCTCTAGGGTCCAATGGTACCAACCTTCCCTGTCACCCAAGCTGGTTACTCAAGGTGTGCCCTTCGTGTGGGTTGAGTACACCCTCCTCTTATAGTTGAGCTTTGGTTGCTGTTGGCAGATCAACGGGAGAGATTTACTCAGGCCAGTCAGTTGCAAGTATTGGCTGTGACCACTGACCAACAACCTCTGCTCTCCGTGGAGGATCAGCAGTGTAAGGGCAGGGTGGTGGTGCTCTGACATGGTCTGTAGCTGTATACTGAGTTCGCAGGTCCTGGGGCTTCCTCGGTGGTGTAGGTCAAGGTCAGCCCCCACCTGTGTTTTGCCCAGGGCCACCCTGCCTGAGCTATAGAGCAATCTGAGATAGCTGCTACTGTGTTGGGCTTGAAGATTCCTAGGAGAAACCAAGCTGTTAATCTAGGCTGGCCCTGCTGGATACCTCTGGCTTTGTTCTTTTTTCTCAGGATTGTTTTGGCAGTTCCCAGTCTTCTGTGATTCCATACAAATCTGATGATTTTTTTTGTTCTACTTTCTTTTAAAAAATGACATCAAAATTGAAATTTTGTTGGGGATTGTATTAAATCTGTATATTGCTAACTATGTTGATCCTTCCCATGTATGTACACGTAATATCTTTCCATTTCATTGTGTCTTTTTCAATATCTTTTAATAATGGCTTGTAGTTTTCAATATATATATCCTTCATATCCTTTGTTGTTTATTCCTAGGTATTTTACTCTTTTGGTTGCTATTGCAAAAGGAATTGGGTTTGTTTTTGGGGTTTTTTTTTTTTCATTTCTTTGCCTGAAGTGTCATTGTTAGTATATAGGAAAGCAATGGATTTTTGTACATTGATTTTGTATCCTGTGACTTTATTTGCTTATTGTTTTTAATAGTTTTTTTGGTGGAGTCTTTAGGGTTCTTTATATACAGAATCATGTTACCTGCAGAAAGTGGCAATTTTACTTCTTCATTCCCAATTTGGATACATTCAATTTCTTCCTCTGGCCTGACTGCTCTGGCTAGGACTTCCAGAACTATGTTGTATAAGAGAAGTGGGAGTGAACATCCTTGTTGTGTTTCTGATTTTAGAGGAAAAGCTTTGAGTTTTTTAAGTCAATTTTTAAAAATCTCCAATTAAATTAAATTAATTCTCTAGTTCTTCAGAGTTTGAATTGGCTTGCTTTTGAGTTCAGGCATCTAATCAGAAGAAACCCAGTATCCTTATATAAAGATGCTTAATAAAGGATATTTGGTTCCTACTACATACTCCTGTACCAATTGTATACACCATTTATCCACCTCTTACTTTATAGAGCTTGGCTGTTTCTGCCTCTGCACATGCTCTTCTCTCCATGTGGTGCTGCCAGGTGCTGCCTCAGGACCTTGAACCATATCTTGGGCATGTACCTGGGTACCTGAAAGCCACCAAAAGTGAACCCACCTACCCATCATACTTCAGGGGGGCTGAAGAATAATTTACTGGAATGCTAAACTCATATTCAGGGCCCTGAAGCAGTTAAATTTGCTTCATAGATGTACTAACTACAACTCCTTCATCCAGAGGAGATGGTCCTAAAGTTTGCTATGGAAGCTCTATATACCAGGGTTACACCTATCTGGCTTTCAGAGTAGAATTTACCAATCCTAAAAGTAAGATTTGGAGAGCAGGCTTACGTATTACTTGAAAAAAATTGGTGCTTGAGTCACAATCTTCAGTATTTCTTTGATAGAATCTGTTGAATGAGAAGCCAGGATATTTTGATTGAATAGCTCTGAGCAGACCCTTAGATTTGAGTTGCACTGGATTTTAGTAGTCATCTGTAGTAACCTTTATTTTAAAGAAGCATTTATTCCTTTTCAATTGTGTTGGCAAATAGAGCTATTAAGCACTAGAATCTTATGTCTGATTCCTGACATCCAGCTTGACTCCTATTAGGAATGTAATTAAAGTGTCATCTCCCACCAAAAGATACAGAATCTAGAGTAAAAAAAACAATCAGGTAGCTGTAGTGATGATGCACCTGTTACTTGGAGAGCTGTCTTTACAATAGCTTTATTATACATTTATTTATTTATAGCAGCTTTGTCTAATAGAAACTTGATGGGAGCAACATACACAATTTTAAGTTATCTAATAGCTGCATTAAAAAAGTAAAAGAAACAGGTGAAATTAATTATGATACTATATTTAACTCCAGAATAATGTTATTTCAACATATAATCAATGTAAAATTTATTAATGAGATATTTTGCATTCTATTTTTCTTACTTCTTACATTGGGTTTATATTTAACATAGCATATCTCAAACCAGACCAGTCATATTTCAAG